TTGTAGATTTTAGCCAGTTTTCTGAATACATCTCCAGTAAGTGTGGAATGAAATGGTCTTACTTAAAAATAACAGTTTTTGTCTGTTGGATAAGGGAAGTGCTGTTAATGGTGAATGTGAGGTTCAGTTAGCATTCAGTTTAATCAGATCAATATTAGTTTGTAAGATATGTGATGTCTGTGACCAAAGAAAAGAACAGATGTAAACTAAAGCTTTTTGTTAGGCCCCATAACCTAAATTTTTTAATTTTTAAATTTAGTTTTTTTCTCTGAAGTGATCTCGTGTTTGTGTTTATGTATCAAGAAAGGGTCACAATTCATTTTTATGCTATCATTTTCCAAACTCTCTTCATACTTTTGAATTAAAGTGGTTTTTGTTACCTTGCCTTTAAGACTGATATATGTAAATTACTTCTGTTCAGATTGGCTGTGCTGTATTGTGTCTCATCTGAATCACTCAGATCTCAGCTGAATCACTCATTACTCCTTAATTTCAGCATGAGTGGGTGGAGCTAAACTGCTGTAGGCTAAATAGGTGGATATATGTACATGCATTGGTTTTCATGACATCACAAAAGCAGTGAATTTGAAATGGACTGATGTTGCAGCTTGCTTACCATTTATGGACTGTGAACTGGGGAGTGCAGGGTGCGTTTTGAAACTTTAATAACACTCTATATACTACATTCCACATACAACATAATTAAAAAGTGAAAAAAACTTACATTTTTCCATGATATAGGACCTTAAAAGGCTACATTTTATTTTATAACAAATATAAGTTATAACTTTGATTAGTGAGGCTGAGGGTAGGGTTAAATTTAGAGTTAGACATGTGCACTGCTGTACCAAAATCTTAGGCAGCCAAGAAAATTGTTTAAAAGCAAATGTGTAGGCAGTAAATGTTTTGTGTGTAAAAAGACCATGCAACATTAGAATAAATACAAATAAACATAAATATAAGCTAACACACTTATACAATCACAGTGTATCGTTTATTTGTATTTTTTCTAAAGTCTTTTAAACAAATAAAATAATAATAATTAAACAACCCAGATAAATTACTTTACATATATTCCCAGATGCTTGTGACTTTTGAACAGGTCTGTATGTACACAGATCAGGCATAACATTATCCTTGTTTCTACACTCATTGTCCCCTTTCACCCTGTTCTTCAGTGGTCAGGACCCCCGTGGACCCTCACAGAGCAGGTACTATTTGTGTGGTGGGTCATTCTCAGCACTGCAGTAACACTGATGTGGTGGTGGTGTGTTAGTGTGTGTTGCACTGGTTTGAGCACAACACACACTAACACACCACCACCACATCAGCATTACTGCAGTGCTGAGAATGATCCACAACCCAAATAGTACCTGCTCTGTGAGGGTCCATGGGGGTCCTGACCACTGAAGAACAGGGTAAAAGGGGGCTAACAAAGTATGCAGAGAAACAGATGGACTACAGTCTGTAATTGTAGAACTACAAAGTGCACCTATATAGTAAGTGGAGCTGATAAAATGGACAATGAGCGTAAAAACTAGGACATATTATATATTATATGGTCATAAGGTTATGCCTGATCGGTGTATGTAATTTGGTAAATACAGTACTGTGTGAAAGTCTTCGACACTTGAGCCAATTGTTTTAAAAATGTTTTCCCCTGTTTGAAGTGGTGGGTGGGGAGGCAGGTTTTGAGGGTGTGTCCGTTATTCTGTATTCATGATGGTCACATTTTGGTCAGACAAGAAAATGAAACAATTGTTAAAAAAAGATATAGTGGTTGATGTGAGCTGGTTAGAAGAAAAAAGACTAGGTCCCAATCTTGTTCTCAATGGATATTGCATTGCATCACCAACTCACCTGATTTGATTTTCTATACTTGTTGTATTAATATTATTTGCATTTGTTCTAATATTAGTGCTTTTCTGAGCAAACAATAACTTTTTGAATATAATATCTCAACATCCTGACACGTCGCAAACATGAAACATGCATGTTTGTAGGATTCCCTGTTTTCTTCCTTTGCAAGTGTGTTTTTTTTTGGGGGTTGTGGTCTTTTGTTTTTACATCTTTTACACTTTTAACTTTCAGGTACAGACAATCAGCCTGAAAACCGCAACGGCAAACTTCATCTGAGTCGTATTTTTCTCCCGTGCAGCAAAGGCACGCTGATAAAAAATTCCATGTATCTCTCTCTGAGCGTGCTGTGGTGCTAATCCTCCTCAAACATTTATGGTTGCGAGAGCTTTGAATTGGAGTCTGTTTCATCGCAGATTAGATGCCGTGTGACACGCGCAGAGGATGCTTGTAACAAGTTGGCAGAGTGTTTACACACATAAATTAGACATTTATCTCTGCCCCATTTTCTTCCATTTCTACCCTCTGTTTTCGTCTGGGTTCGATTCTTCCTGCAGCATTCGTGTCGCTTATTTGTGGCAGGAAGAAGCGGCCCTTTGTGCTAATGCCCTCTCATTTATTTGTGTTTATGTGTGTGTGCGCGTGAGCGTAAAGGTACGTCTTGGGGGGTAGAATTTTTTGTTAGTCATAATTGGGCTAAGCAGCTTGACAGGGCCGATTCGTTTTGCTCAGAACTAGACTTGCTCTGAGCCACTGTCGTTCTCATTCGAATGCGCGAGGGCGATGGGGTCCGGTGAAGATTTGCATTGCCGGGAACGTTCCTCTTTCCCACCAAGAGCAGAAATTGGGATTGCTGCCCTTAAATTACACTTCACAGATGATTTATTATTGTTGTGTACTCGCTGTCTATGTACATTGTGTTTACTTGCTGTCTGTTTGGATGCTTGTATCAGTTCGGTGGCAGCTTTAATGTTTAGCATCCACTGAGAAGACAATAATATCTGATTATGGGGAATGGCTCCAGACATATTAATCATTTGTCCTTATTGAGTTACTTATCTACATGCTGGATGCACTATTGCCAATCTGTTTTCATTGTGACGAATTAGGCCCCGATCCCTCGCCGTCCATCACACGCATGCACACGCTCACACTTGCATGCCACGTAAGATAAAGTAAGCCGTAGGGCTCCCAACAAACCAATAATACATCATCTGCTCTTCGAACGGCTGTCACCAGTCTGTATCTCTCCCCCCCCCCACACACTTCATATAATTGTGCCCTCAGAGAGCTCTTCCTCTCGCCCTCACCGTGTCCACAGGGCGTTCCGTCAGCATAGCTGCCGCTCCGGAGCCCCCTGCGTTTAGAACGCAATATTTCCCAATTTGCGGTAATTGCGTAACGGCCGTAATTCGACGCCGCCTCTCGCCCGTTTCCCCCCACGGATGCTCACACACCAATTAACTCCGGCAGACGCAGCCCCGATCGCAGCATTGCCAACATCCATTACCATTGCCTAGCAACACAAAAAACCATGGCCTTCCCTTACGTAAATAGCTTTTTAAAATGCCAAAGCCAAAAGCAGCATGCACATCACAACTAAAAGTAATTTCGGAGGGAGTTGGTGGGGAGAAGAGAAAAGCTGTAAAGTGGAGGCTCTAGAAAAAGTTGAATGTTGAAGTTAGATTTGGTGTGTTTCCTTTTTTTGGCGTGTTTTGGGTTTAGGCCTTAGTGTGGCATAAGGCATTGTGCTTCAGTCCGCTCTTCTCTCATCAAACAAAGCTAGGAATAGTCACACTGTCATGTGTGCATAGATTATATAGAGTATCTCTGTTTATTTCTGTACAATTTAGTCAGATTCATAACTGACGTTGATCAGGCTTGTTTTGTGTTTGTCTCTGGAAAAAAACTAATTTAAAATAGTATTGCCATTTCACCACTTGGCCTCTTCAGAGGGTCCCTATTTTATCATCTTTTGACATCTTTCCCCTGTCAATGATCAGAACTAGGTATCTGGGTGCATCCTATCAGAGCAGTGGTTTCCAACCCTGCACATATTGGTGTTTTCCCTGTTCCCTATACAACTGATCCAATCTAATCAGTTAATTAGCGTGCCCTTCCTGGGTTAAACTGAGTGTTTTAAAGATATGCAGGGCAGAGGGTACTCCAGGACCAGGGTTGGGAACCTTTGTGTCAGAGTAAAGTAGGCTGGGAGGGGTAGTGGCTTATGTTATACAACACCTGTGCACAAATGACTCAGCTTTTCACAAACCAATTATAAATTCTAGAGGTTGAAATTTTTGAGGTTTATTTTGTTATAGGGCGTTTGTTAGAAGTTCAGTTTAGAAGTCTTTGTTTATTTGAGCCACACTTATCTAGTACATAATTAGAACTCTGTAGATTGATTTGTAACATTTTAATGCAAAAAAAATCAAACATCTAATTGATTCTGGACCTCGTTATATAAGACAAATTTAGGGACTCCTTATTTTTGCTGTATAGTAAAGTGTTTTGATTCACGACACACCAATATCTTCCTATGTTCATTCTTAAATTTGTTCTTGATAAAGATCCTAGGAAAAAGTCTACATTAGATACATGTTCTTAAACCTCAGAACTGTTTGCACCTTTGTACTCTTGAGCGTGTGTAGATTCTGTTCTTACCTAGGAACAAATCCTAAATAAGAAAACATTGGTAAATGTCAGAATCTTTGTAAAGACTAAATGAGTTTTAAGAAGTGATTTCAGAATACATCGAAAAATCACATTTGTATATTGTAATTTAAAACTGTATCGCCGATGTGTCCTCTGGTCTCTCATTTATCATCTTTCATGGAAACCTGTCAACAATCAAAACTAGGCATCTGGGTCCATCTTATTAGAGCAGGCAGGGGGAGGGTCTTATGTTATGTGTATAACATAAACCCAAATGACAGAGCTTTTTATAAATCAGTTGTCAGTTGTAGGGATTGTGATTTACAGAATTTATTTTGCAGGCATAATTTTAGCTCTGTAGAATAATTTGTGATCATTTGCAAAACTTTACCATAGAATTGACAATTAACTGTTGTGTCTCTAGTGCACATGCATGACTGTACAAACGTTAACCTCTCTCTCTATCTGTCTCTCTCTCCCCTCTGCAGATGAGTGATGTAAAGCGGCTGAGGCCCAGGCTGAACTCCATCCTCTTTAAGCTGCAGTTTGAGGAGCAGGTGAGTCACCTGCGGCCAGACATCCTAGCGGTGAATGCAGCTTGTGACGAGGTGAGGAAGAGCAAAGCCTTCAGCAAGCTGCTTGAGCTGGTGCTGTTGATGGGCAACTTCATGAATGCCGGCTCGCGCAACGCCCAGTCCTTCGGCTTTGACCTCAGCTCCCTCTGCAAGGTGGGTATCTTTTGTGTTTCTTCCCCCTCCCTCACAATCAATCATGGCCCCAGAAGGCTATGACTCATTATCATGGCATTCTCTCCAGCTTCAAGTTTCTTGCAGACGTTCTTCTACAGACAAGTGTCTTCCGACTTACACAAAACAAAACATCAATACGGAACAATGCAGTGCTTTTTTGTGTGCTGCTGCAGCTATTTGTTCCATGCATGAAATATGAGTTTTTATCCTTTATCTGTTGGTCTGGCATAGTCATATACAGCTCGGCTCGGGCTGCTTCTGCAGACAGTGCACACAAACACACGTACGCCCCTGGGTCATTAGAAGTGCCTTGTATCAAATGAAAGCATCGTATTGTCTCTCTTCTCTCTTTTCATGGAAAGATGTGGGTAAGATTATGGTTCTTTTTGAAGCATAGGGAAGGATGGGCCTCCCCTGCCCCCTCGACCCCTATCGGCCTCCACATCTAATGTGCCTCTGGTGGCCTGATTCTGTTTTCTTTGCTGAGATATCATTTTAATTTAACACTATCAGGCATGAGAGACCGCCATGTCTTGTGGTGTCCATTGAAGCCACAGAGGCCCAAAACTACTTTATGGCTTTTTCATCCACTCCAGAAGAAACATCAAAAAAATTACATAATTCTGACTTGTTTTTGTGAGTGTGTGGGTGTGTTTGCTCTTCTGCTTACCTATGTAACGACGTTTAGAGATTTTCTCCCTTCCAGTCATCAAAATTTGTATAATTGTATAGGTGGGTGAAGAGTGGGGGTGAGTAACTGAAAACTAATACTAATCTGATTGAAGCAGTCTGATTGTTTCTTTTGTGCATTACGTAACTTGTATTTCTTTGCACGTATTTCATTGAGTAGGAGGCTGCCTTGCATCTTTCAGTGACCCACCTATCCTTTTTTTTTTACCCTTTCAAGCTTTGAGGCATATTTTTTATTTTCTTCATGTTAGCTACTGTCAGAGGTGCAGAACATGATTATTTTACCCTGTAAAAAGCTACAGAATGCAGGTGTGAGAGTTTTGGGGGAGAATAGGTGTGTAGGGAAAATGAAAGAGAAAAATAGAAACAAAAAGGAGAATTTAATTACCACTCCAAATGAGCGGGTTTATCTAGGCAACCATGGCAACCCGCTGCTCATTCTGCAGTTTCTCTCCCTCCCATCTCTCTTTCTCTTTCTCTCTCTCTTTCTCTTGCCTACTCTTCCCTTTTGGGCTATGTCTCAGCTCTTCTGAAAATGGTCATTACCGCATTACAGCGGAGTAGCCAGGCCGGTCTCCTCTCAGGCTGATAATGAAATGCCTCTCTGTCTAATAAGTCTCCTATAGCACCTGACAAAGGAGCTCCACACTGACAAACACGTTCACATTTTGGACTTTATTAGAGGAAGAGGCGGATGGGCTGCTAGAAGAACATCTGCTTTTTAGTAGTTGTAGTGTTAGAACCTGATGATTTTGAACTGCACAGGACAAAGTAGTGGTACTTTCCGTATATTTTGCAACTGTATCACGATATCAGATATCAAGTTAACAATCCTTTCTAAATGGAGTACTGTACAGGTGGAGTGCAAGTGTTTTTTTAATTTCAAGTAAAAATCAACATTATTGCCATTATTTTTCATCGAAGGCATTTGTTAAGTGAGGAATGGAATATAGTCCCCAATACAATAAATACAGGTGATAAACTTTACATTTACTCTACATTAAAACAGTGGTCACAGGTCCTGCTTCTGGAGGTCTACCTTCCTCTGAAATTCAGCTGCAGCCCAGATCTGGCTTACCTGATCTATTTAGGTGGAGTAGTGATCTGGATCAGAACTGTTGAATCAAAGTTGGATGTAAAGTCTTGAGGAAAGTAGATCTTCAGTAGCTGGGTTGGTGACCACTGCACTGAACTATGCAACCTTGATTACAGGACAGTAGAGAGAAGTACAACTCTTCTCTTAGTCCTCAGCAGTAACGGTTATTTGTATTATGGGTGCACACTGAATAATAATAGTATTAATAGTCTTTAGCAGCAGGTAACAATGTCAAAAGTGTGGGCAGTGTGTACAGAATAAAGTGTCCTGTGTGTATAAAGTGAACTGTAAAGTGAACAGGTGCAGAGTGCAAGAGACGAAAGTGAAGAGTTCAGCTGAGGTAGTAATGCGGTCAGAATGTGTGAAGAACCACAAAGCAGATCTGCTTGGCAGTCTGTGAGAAGAATCTGCTCGAGTCAGGAGGACTTGACCTGGATGCTCCTGTCTTCCAGATGGGAACGGTGAGAGCAATCTGTGTGCAGTGTGAGATGGATCCTTCCTGAGATTGGCCGGGCCTACCTGCCTTCCGTTTGTCAAATATTAATCGAATAATATTGTGGAAAATTGAATATTATATTAGACTGAATTGCCCATCACTTAATATTGTATTCCAATCAAGGTTTTCAAGGGGCTTAAACACTACTTTCGACCACAGAACACGCTAGCTGTGTCGGACTTGCATGACCAAAAAAGTTTTCTTCTGCTCAGATTAGAGCTGTAAAACATTTAGTGAAAAACAGACTCTGCTACTGAGAGTCTGGTGGTCAACATGACCTTTTGACAAAAAGGGGCCATTTCACAGAGAGCCAAACTACTAACACTTGAAGTTGTTTTTTACATGCCATGTTGGCAGATGGGACTCATTAAAAAAGTTCATGGTTTTCTAAAAAAAGTAAAGGTAACGTTCTGCAGACATTGCACAAACACACGTACGCCCCAGGGTCATTAGAAGTGCCTTGTATCAAACGAAAGCGTTGTATTGTCTCTCTTCTCTCTTTTCATTGAAAGATGTGCATAGGATGATGGTTCTTTTTGAAGCAGAGGGAAGGATGGGCCGCCCCTGCCCCCTCGACACCTATCGGCTTTCACATCTAATGTGCCTCTGGTGGCCTGATTCTGTTTTCTTTGCTGAGATATCATTTTAATTTAACACTATCATGCTTGAGAGACCGCCATGTCTCCTGGTGTCCATCAAAGCCACAGAGGCCCAAAACTATTTTTTTTTTAATCCACTCTAGTTGAATGACATTCTTGTTTTTAAATATTTGAATTTTTAGCTTTATCGAATTAGGTTAAAATATTTTTCAGCTCTGTATATGCTTATTCTTTTTGAACTCTGTTCTTATTGAACTCTTGTTCTCTTTTGCTTCTACTAAAATTACACTAAAGCAAATGCTAACAGGATAGGTTTTCAAACAGGAAACGTGCCATTTATTTAGTTTTCAGAATTTTTCAACTCTTCCTTCAAAATAATTTGAAACATCCAGTAAGTTATACACATTGCAGATAAGTTTACAGATAGGTTTTTATCTATTTACCGCTGAACTGAAAATAAGTATCATTGTGTGACACCAATACCAGTATACCACTGGGCAATGTAATGCCTGGTATTATTTCAGAGAGACTGAAACAAGAAAGTTCTGACTGTAGATGTATTCCAACTCCACATCGTGCCTGCTTTTCAGATGCCATGCTATCCATGTCGAGGTGAGAAACTGTTGGCTGTTTATCTGCATTCATCTACCTTCTCGCTTCTCTGTGCATCTCAAATGATGGAGGGATTTGTTTCCGTCGACAAACGAGTACAGAAAGATGGGAGAGATCGAGACAGATGTTCTGCTGCTGATGGGCGGAGAGCAACAAAGAATGTGTGCCATTCCCCGCCTTTCAAGTTGCTCGCCTGAGGGCCTGTCCTGATGTTCTCTTTCAATGCCTGTGTTGATCTTTTGGTTAGTTAGTTTGTTTGTTTTTGTTGTGGGAAGTTTAACCTGTCACACGTGTACAGAGTTCGTCTTCTGGGTCGTGTTCGGCGCCTGTTTAGTCTTCAAAGGAGTCATCTGAGCTTTTCCGCCACGTTCCTTTGTGACTTCTTCTGTGATCTTGCCTCTGAAGGAAATATTTAGTTCTCATTGACACATTTTCTTTGAGATGTTTATGTTTGTTGCTCTTACTCAAAGCCTTTTGTTGTCAGTGGCTCACAAGGTCAAGACCAATTGCACAGAAATCGTGGTGCACTGGAAAAGGGAAGAGAGGCCATGCAAGGCCTTCGTCAGCTGAGAAACGTGACCTCCATGAACACTGTTGGAGTGGCCTTTTTGTGTTGTTTAGATGAGGAAATGCTGTTGTAATGATTGGATTGGATAGGTTTTGTTTTTTGCACTCTCACTGTTTGTGAAAAGAACATACTTTTTGTTTGTTTGTTTGTTTGTTTCTTTTTCCCCTAAAGTTAACACATGGCCTACACCCGGCCTCTCCCACTGGGCGCTGTGTTAGAGCAACAGAGCCTAATTTAGTGTTGTCCCACAGTTCTGCTTCCAAATTTCCTCACTGACAGAAAACATGAGCACTGGGTGTTTGTGCAACTACAAAAGCCACCATCAGAGCACACCCACTCTAAAAGAAAGCAATCTAGAAAGGAAAGAAAGAGAAATTTAATTTTCATTTGTTCTCTGTGCCTTCTCTCTTTTTTTTTCCTCCCCTCTCTTTCTCCTTCCCTCCCTCCCTTCTCCCTGATCTCTTTTGCCGATGGTTTTGCCGATACGAGGAATCTCACCAGGTGATCAGTGTGTCAGAATCAGAAGAGCACACAACCCCGCTGAGCTTAATAACGTTTGAGCTATCGCTCCTAATCAAATGCTCTTTGCATTCTGTTTTTCCCCCCTCGTCTCTCCGGGGCACCTCGGCCTTTACAAAGGCCCGTATCCGTATTGCTGAATGGTAATCATAATTGACAATGAAAACATCTTGCTTTTCCAATCTGGCCGCAATTTCAGAGCGTGCTATCAAATTAACTTGTCAGGCACAAAAGGAGGCTGCTGCCGATGGCTTCTTTCAAGATGCTGTTTTCCTTGCAAGCTCGCTCTCTCTGTCTCTCCCCCTTTTCTCTCTTTCTCTCTCTCTCCCCATAAATATTTACTCTCTTTTGAGTACAGAGAAGCGAATCAGGGGAGGGAGTGATTAACAGTGGAATAGTAGTTCCAGCTGAGTCATTTGTCCTTCAGTATCTTTCTAGTTGTTATTAACACAGTGTTTTGACCAGTGCTTGTGTAACTCCATATTGTTGCTGTCGGAACAAAACCTTGCATCTCCAAAACGGTAGATTTCTAGGAGCAGGGAAAATGTACTTAACTTTGAATATACGTTAGTGGAACAAGAATTTTTTTCCAGGTATTTTTGGACCATTTCTATTGGGTCGTTCATCATGAAATTCAAAAGGCTCACTTTTTCATCAGTGCTTCAGTGATACACTGAATTTTGGATTCACATGTCATCACTAATTGCTAGCATTTTATTTAACACTAGCTTACATAGTATAGTTTGAAATAAAAAACTAGTTGACCAGAAGGTCATTTAAGATTTTATTCTATATTTCAAGTTTTTCTGGGGAAAAGGAAGAAGTCTGGACATATCTTGCCAAAGATGAGGACTTGAGTCAGCGACATGGACTCAAATTATATGCTGACTGACTCATGACTTGACTTGGACTCACCCTTGGCTGACTCGTTACTCGATTTGGACTTAAGACTTGTGAAATTTCAACCAGAGAAACGTAACAAAACTAATAAATGAGTATCATAAACATTAATGCAGTAAATAAAGGAAGCCTTTCATTTCCACACTTACATGTGTGACTTTGATTGTCAGTTTTGCTACAGTCCTGCGCAGTTATTTCGACAATGATATCTGGGCTTGCAGCAGCATCAGGTTCAGTACAGTTTAAAAAAATCGAGCCTTTATAGAATAACCTTGTTTTTAAAGAAAAAAGGCTAACGTTATTTGAATGGCAAGTGTTCTAGCTAACTGAATTTGTCAGCTAATATAGCTGAAATTTTAGTAAGTTAGAGATCACATTCCTTTAAAACTTAATGAATCTTTTACTGGACTAGCTATTACGGTACGTAGCAGCATACTTAGTATGTAAACCACATACTAACCAGCCATTTTAAGTTACTTTGCCTCTTTCCTTTAAACATATTATTGAACAGTGGTTCCAAACTTTTGAATAGTAATGTACTTGTCTAAATACTGATAAATACCAAAATCATCAAATACTGCCATCTTTCTGATGATGCTACAGTTATACTTAATATCAACACTATACACAGCAGTGGCTTCATGCTTAAGTATGTGCCTTTCCTGAAGGAAGTCAGCAGTGAGACAGTATTCACAGAACAGTTTTTGAGACGAAGGCAATTTCAAAAGTGGCTTCTAGCCCATGGGATAAGATGCTTCCTCTTCAAGTCTCGATTGAGCTGCGTTTGAGCTTGTGTGTTCCAAATTTTAAGCAAATCATGTGCATTTCAGAAGTTTTCAACAAAGTCTGATAAAGTTTTGGAGCATTTGGCTAATTTTTTAAAAATCTGCTTGTCCTTTTATTTCCTTTTTAGCTGAAGGACACCAAGTCAGCTGATCAGAAGTCCACTCTGCTGCACTTTCTCGCTGAGGTGTGTGAGGAGAAATATCCTGATGTTCTTAGATTTGCGGACGACCTGCAACATGTGGACAGAGCCAGTCGAGGTATGCACTCAAATAAACACCACCTCAGCACGAAATTTAAGAATAGTAACAGCTCAGCATTAATGAGGGCATTTAAATGGGTATTTGAACTATTTTTGCTCTGTCAATACCTGCTTTTTTGAACGAGTAAAATTCAATGTCCCAAAAACAACTAAAATATAATTATATATTTTATGTTGTTGAAAACCGGTAACATGGAAGGTTTATCACTTGAAATTAGCACGTGCTCATGTATTGTCTTTGTGTTTCCATGAGTGTCTGAAGACATATCTGGCAGCACCTAATAAGCTGTTTGCTTTAATACATGTAACAGTGAACAGAGATGACAAATATATCAGGAAAGAGCTAAACTTCTTGGAAGTGAAGATTTTGAATTTCAGCTGCAGCTTCATCTAATTGGTTTACAAATGCCAGTTCCCATTTTTACCCTCTAACAATTGTTTATCATTACAATGAAGAAGAAAATACAGAAATAAGCACACATGCTTGAGATTACTTTACATTAGTTAGCATTTCTCCAGGAAGCATGTGAGACTTAGCAATATACATATACTTTTAACCTTTTGAAACTTTTAATTGCTTAACAGTCCTCGTTAATAGTGATAATAATAGTAATTTGCCTACTGAGAAATTAACCAGTATGATGTGGTAGTTAAGAGTAGTGACTTAAATGTTAATGCAAATAAAATGCAAAATAAAGCATGCTCAGTCCATTCATAGTTACATGTTGCTATGTACAGCATTATAAAATGTTACCGATAAATTAAAATAAGAGAGAGTTTATTTATTTTTTTGTATTTTAAGCTATACATGCCTTATTCAGACAGCTGATTAATTGAACAAATAGTAAGATGAGTTTGGATACCCGTGTGTTGGCATAACCATGCCTACTCCTAATCACAATCTGTTCCACTTTAGAATTACGCTGGAGTGAGTCTGAAATAATGGCTTAGAATAACACCGCTCTTAAGACACATGGTGTGTGACTTGCTTACAGGGTAAGATCATAGGCCCCCGTGCTGTGTGAAAACATGTGTGGTTTGTTTGTTAGTGTCTGTCACCATCTGCTCTCACTGAACACTCGTAAAGTGTGGACACATGCTCTTATTTTTAAGCATGTTAACTTGCCAGCTTAGTGTCTTTTGGAACCTTGTTGGTTTATGTGTTTTTTTTTATTTTTTTATTTTTTTATTTTTTTTTACTTCTGTCTGTTCACATTATATTTTGTGTAGCATAACAATGTAATGCCCTAAAGTATCCAGACACCTCTTCTAATTAGCGAATTCAACTAATGTAATGTGTACATATTGCCGCCACAGGTGTTCAGTTGCGCAGCTTGCATGATCTCCATAGAACAGCATTGCTAATAGAATGGGATGCTCTGGAGCAGCCATTCATGAGCCTGAGATCACCATGCCCAATGCCAGGCATTGTCCAGAGAGGTGTAATGGCTTCCGGAATTTTGACGTAGTGCAGCACAAAAAGTTTGTATTTATGTTACGAGATCACATCTGGTTCTGTGAGTCTACGTCAGGAGCAGCCTCTCAGTCAAAATTCCTAGCTCTTTTTTTTTTCCTGTCTGCTCTGAAAACGCACTCGGTGCTGGTGGCACCTGCCAACACGCCCCCACAATGGTATTGTCTATCAGTGATGGCTAAGGTATGATTGCACGGTGGTATATTGCACATGATCTCACAAGCCTAGGTTCTTGGTCCTTCTCTTCAAACCCTGCATGAGGGTTTGTGATATTTTTCCCCATCAGTGTCTAGTAAAGCACCTCCATTCAGCAAAGGAAATGGATTCTACTCCAGATTAGCCTTTCTCCAGGAGTGCCACACACAGTCAGCCTTACCTTCCTGATTCCTTGCTGATTGGTGTATGTGCTGTGTTCATTACCTAATGCCGTGCTGTGAGCGCACACTATGCTGTGTTGGCTGCAGATATTGCATGCAGTGAGGCTGAAATATTCTTGGTGTGAGTGTAAGAGTGTCGCAGCTGTAGGAGACACAATGTAGCTCTCCCAACTCTCCACATCCAAAACTCTGATATGTCGTTTGTTGACCGGAAAGCCAATGACCAGCACAGCTGTTTCTTGCTGTGTATAGATGCAGTGTTGCTTTGGATGTAGATAGGACTGAATTTAGTGTAGCAGTGTGGATCTGCTCGGCGCTGGTGGTGTGTATGATCATATGAAGTGACTAATGAACTATTCTTTCTGGTTAGATTTTTTTTTTTTTTTTTACGCCTCTCCATTTATTCTCTCTCCACCTCACTTGTTTAGTCCAGTCTACTGCCCAGTTAAATTCAGGATTTAATTATAAAGCGCATTTTACAATGGCCGTTGTCACAAACCAGCTTCACAGAAAATCTTGGTCCAAGCCCCAAATACACAAACCAAGGGTGACAGTGACAAAGAAAACTCCTGTTCTCCCCTGGTCGACGCCGGATAGCAAAACAGTAATACAGCACGAGCAACATGAATCAAAAATAGAATATATGACACTGAATACACATATTAAATATGGAATAAAGTAAAGAAATGAGCGAGTCATTGAACAGAAGTATTTAGATTAACCAGTGTATAAACAATGACTACTGTTAGAAGCCTATGGGAGTAACCTATGATGAAATCCAGTACTATAGCCATCCCCTGCATGTCTGTTCATTGTGGCCAGTATTTATTCAGTATACACTGTGCTGTATACCATTCTATATCAGATATGAAACAAATAAAGGCTGAGTCAAAGGCTTTGCTTTCTCGCGCTGAAGAGCATTTATTGATCATGCATTCATTCCACTGGTCTTCTGAAAAACCACAGATAAAACTGTCTGACAGACACACTTTCAGAAATGTTTGTCTTCATGAAAGTCGGATTTTCTGATTACAATAGCATGCACTTGGAAAACCCTGACATGTAGTGTTCCTACCTGCTATTAGTACCAAATGCAAGACTCACAACAGAATGGATGTTAGTAATCATATTTCTAGAAGGGGTGGACAATATGAACTATATCATATGAATTATATCATTATTTTCCACTATTTGTATGATAATGATACAGTCATGATTAACACTAAGTGCTGTAATCATTGTTATTTTTGTTTTGTTGTTGTTTGATTGATGGGGCCAAATCTAATCTAGACACATTTACTGAATTTCTGTGATCTAATTAATACTGAAATTTCATATGGATTGCTGTATTCCTGGAATTTCATCCCCTGAAAAATGTTTCAAGTTGATTCGAGTTGATTTAGTTTTTGTTGTTGGATAATAGTGATCCACACGTTTATATAAAAGTTGTATTTAAAAAAAAATGTAATAAATGTATGATTACTATGAGGTTAAGGAAACATCATTTAGTTTTGAGAGGGGAAAAAAAGTAATTTTTATTTCTTTTGAAGTCAAATCCCCAAATCTTGCACAGTGTAGCTTTAAAGCTTTTGATTGTATATTTAAAGTGTTTTTTATTTATTTATTTTTTTTATTTATTTTTTTTTTTTGTTCTTTGGTTTCATATATTGTATACATATATATAAGTCATGATATATATTGTGCATCTTGAAAATGTCTTCACGTATTGTGAAGTTATTTTCTCTACATCACCCTCCTCAATAATGTCAACTGATCATGACCCTGAAAAAAAAAAAACTATTTCAGTATGTATATATACTGTGCTTTTCTGTGTTTTATCATCATGCCTCTGTTGTGGTACGTATTGTTTTGTGAAGTTGCTATCCATACCTAGCCCTACTGGACACTTCCCTGCTGGAGCTTCTTCACAGCTGCGCTGTGTCGCTCCCAGTCCTGCTTGGAGAGACTGATTACATTGAATTCATCATCATTTCATGTTCTAAAACATGCTGTTTATTGACTAGAACGCCAGCAGCTCTCTTTCTCTCTCTATCTCTCTCTCCTTCTCTCTCTCCCTCTCTCTTTCCCTCTCTTTCTCTCTCCCTCTCTCTCTCTCTCTCTCTCTCTCTCTTGCTCTCGCTCTCGCTCTCTCTCTCTCTGTCATTTGTTCTTCTTTTTTTTCCCGACTCATCTCTTGTGTTCCTGTATTCTTGAGCTTTTTTTTTTTTCTTTATCAAGAAATCGCTCTTCTTCTCTTCTCTCAGCTATTATGTTACTACATATTCATTCATATTCCACTTCTAATGATTTTAAACTCTCTCCCATCACAGGAGAAATAGGCTCTCTTTTCAGCAGCACTGCGCTTTGCTAGTAAAATGCTACTTTAACAGTCATACCAGAGTGAGATTGTGATTAGTCTCTCATTATGAACTGTCTTTGAGTGGGAGGGAGTGTTGGTTTACTAATCCAAACGTGTTGCTGTGAAATATGTCACAGTAATAAGTATATACAATGGTGCAGCACTTGCAGTATTTGCCTTTGCTGTACTGTTATTGCTGTGTGTTGTCAGCAATATGACCATTCACTAATCTGACTGTGTATTTCAAAAATCCAGCAATTTTGTTCAAAATAATTCAGGCCAGTGTGTCACATTGATTCCACAACGCATTTTGAGTATATTACAAAGCACATCGCAATTGCAGTTTTTAGCAATTAGAGCTGTCAAGTGATTTTCTCTACATTACATCTTATTTTGAGGTGAATTGGACCTTTTTACTTTATTACTACAGCTGTTTGTTGATGTGAGACAAAGGGACAGGTCACTGGTTGAAATATGAATGGGAAAGCTCATAACACTCAACATGGTGTCTGTGTACAAGAAAAGTCCTGCCCTTTAAGAAAATGAGCCTAGCAGCAAGCTGTTTAAGCCACAAGTGGAAAAAGATGCCCCTTGTTGTGGAGATGTTTGTGTTATTTTAGCTATACACTACAAATAATTTATGCTTTTTTTGTCAAATTTTATCAGTGATTTCAGATACGTATTTGAAATTCTAGTGTGGATTTTCAGTTTTATAGGTCTCTCCTCATTCAAAGAGACAGGAGCCTGAACTTGTATGACTGGAAATGATTGCCCAAAAATGTTGCCAA